CTCTACAGCAGTGTGTGTGTCTCTCTCTCAGGTCCGTCTGTCCACTCTGCAGCAGTGTGTGTCTCGGTGTCGGGAGGCTCTCCAGGTGGCCCAGGCTTCAAAGGGGGGACAGTTACCCAATAGCACCCCAAATCTTGAGCCCCCTGCCAACTTCTCTCCTGCCTCCAAGAATGGTAAGTCCACAGCTCCCGGGAGAATTCCAGAGGGAAGATCCGCTCTTAAACTGGAGGCAGGCTGCACGCTGGCCGGAGCGTGAACCTCGTGCGGGGGGCCGCAGGGGTCTGCATTCTGCCACGGGGGGGCGCTCATGAAGGTAACTCACTCGGGACCCTGGCACCGCGGAGTAATGACAGCGGCGCCTGCGCGTGTCTCCTCTCGCAGTCTCTCCAGCGGGCGTCCAGCTGGCCCGGGACTCGCCCCTGTCCCTCCAGGCCATGAAGAACGCCTGCCGCCGGCTGCACAACGGGCTCTCCTCACACAGAGCCGCGCACAGGTAATATAGCGCCCTACGCTGGGGAGGTCAGGTGGATCTGAGCGTTTCTCACCCCCTGCTCTCTGCTCTCTCTCAGGAGGGAGCGGCTGAGCCGCAGTGATGAGCGCGGGGAAGCCCCCCCAGTCCAGCGCAGCCCCAGGCGCAGGTACGGAGGCGGGGGCTGCTGGGACAGCCGTACACGGCCCCCTCGAGCAGACGCAGCGTCTGAGCGCTCTGTCTCTCTCTCTCAGGCGCAGCCGCAGTGTCTCCTCTCCCATGCGCACCTCCTCGGCGGCCCTCTCTCCCAGTTATCGCAGGAGATCCCGGGAGAGGGACCGGGACCGGGACCGGGACAGGGACAGGGACAGGGACCGGGAGCGACCGCGAGACAGGAACAACAGGGGGGCCGCTCACCGCAGGTGGTGAGGGGACGGGCTCGGACACCGTCTGCTGCTGTCTGGGACCACCCTGCCCTGCTGAAACAACACTTCACATCTGTGTTGGATTTTATAGAATGTACATTTGTATAAATGAATATATTTTTACACCACTTTCCTGTAAAAATTTGCACTTTTTTTAGTGAGCTGGAGCTTCAGAAAACACAAGTACACTTGGGTGTATGTGCACACACTGGAGGAGGTGTGCTCTACACAGTGGGCACAGTGCTGTCTGTACTGGGATACACAGTCTCAGTTCTGTTGTTGTTACTGTGCCTGTAACTCTCGAACCCGTGCCCAGGCTGGCCCTTGACTGCTGGAAGATTTCTGCTCTGCTGGAGTCGTGCTTCTGTATTATAATAAAGAGAACAAGCGGAATGTGTCTGGATTGTGGGAGAGCTCAGGCATGGAGAGAGGGTGGGGGTCAGAGAGAGAGTGGAGAGGGGTGTGGGGGTGTGGAGGTATGATCTAGTGCAGACGTGGGTGTGGAATGTGTGAGACAGTGAGTCTGTGCTGCGGTGCCTTCTGTGTGGAGTTTGCATGTTCTGTGGATTGTGGATTCTTCCCTGGTCCTTCGGTTTCTTCCCAGATTCCAAACACAGGCCGTCCACTTTGTTCAACAACTTGGCTCGCGAGGGACGGAGGGGTCTGCTTGGCCAGTCTCCGGGTTCTGCTCCTGGAGTCAGGGTGTCGTTCTGGCAGCTCAGGCAGCTCACTATTGACTGATTGGACCAGCACAACGACTTCTCGCAGTTCCTGAGTGTCTGGGGCCGGGCATTCCACACCAGGATTGGGCTGTTGGAGGGAGGGGTTATGGATCAGTTGTCGGGCCGTCGGTATCGTGGAGCTCACGTCTGTGTCCCGCCCTGGTCACCCAGCGAGCAGGGACGGGCAGTAGACACCTGCCAGCCCTCCACACTTTCACTCCAAGGGAAGCCTCTGCTCACAGGTGGCTCAATTAATTAGGTAGCTAACGAGCTGTGCTGTAATTAGGGAGGTAATCTGCTTCCTCAGCTACTGTCACTAATACCCTGAGTGTCTTTTCCCCTCCACCTCCACACAGCCTCTTGTGTGTGTGTGTATGTGGGTGTGTGTATCCATGTCTATGGGGGTGTGAGCCTGTGTTTCCGTGTGGGTGTGTGCACACTCTCACCAGGGGAGAAGTGGGGTTCTGCAGACAGGCAGTGCTGGCAGCAGAGTGAGGAGCAGACGCAGGCAGACCGACGAGTGTCCCAGAGTCCGCCTCACAGCAGACAGTCGCACACAGATGGGGGAGCAGACCAACAAAGTGGTCACTGTGCTCCTCAAAGCTGCCATTCCAGCCCAGAATGCCCTGTATGGGCTTCTTGTGATGCTGGGCATTGTGGGAAATGGGCTGGTGATGGGCGTGGTTGGGAGAGGGCTCGTTAAGGAGGGCTTGGCCCGGCAGCACTCTGACATCATCCTACTGAACCTGGTGCTGTCCAACCTGCTGGTATCCCTGGTCCGAAACATTCCCCTGCTACTGGCTGACGTGGGGCTGCAGGTATCGTCTGTGTCCTGAACTCTGTGCTGTAATGTCTTTCTGTGTGCTGCTCTCTGTACTGAACTGTACTGTCTCTGCTATACTTATTGTGTGCTGTACAGCAACTCTGTGGTACTCTGTTCTGTACTGTGACTTTTTACTGTGACTCTGCTGTATTCTCTGGACTCTACAGGGACTCGTCTGTACTGTCTCTATACAGGAATTCTGTTGTACTCTGTACTCTGCAGTACTCTCTGTGCTCTACAATGAATCGGCTATACTGTCTCTATACTCTGCAGTGACTCTGCAGTACTGTCTCTGTACTCTAGTGACTGTTCTGTACTGTCTCTGTACTCTAGTGACTGCTATACTGTGTCTATAATCTGCAGTGACTCTGCTATACTGTCTCTGTACTCTGCAGTGACTGTACTGTACAGTCTCTGTACTCTACAGTGACTGTGCTATACTGTCTCCGTACTCTAGTGACTGTGCTATACTGTCTCTGTACTCTGCAGTGACTGTGCTATACTGTCTCTGTACTCTACAGTGACTGTGCTATACTGTCTCTGTACTCTGCAGTGACTGTACTGTACAGTCTCTGTACTCTAGTGACTGTGCTATACTGTCTCCGTACTCTAGTGACTGTGCTATACTGTCTCCGTACTCTGCAGCGACTGCTATACTGTGTCTATAATCTGCAGTGACTGCTCTCTCTGTGTGCTCCCAGCTCTTCACCTCTCCAGGGTGCTGCCAGTTCCTGATGTTCATGTGGGTGTGGCTGCGCTCTGTCAACGTGTGGATGACCATGTGCCTCAGCGCCTTCCACTTCCTCACGCTGTGCAGGCTGGGCCCCGTGGTCCCCGCCGGCCCCCATGGCCCCCGGGCGTCTCTGCAGCGCCTCCTGCTGGTGCTCGCCCTGATCTGGAGCCTGAACCTTCTGTACTCCTTCCCCGGCTTCTTCTTCTCCACACAGGGGGGCCGCAACTCCACTGAGGTCAGAGCTCTCGCTTGTAACCCCGTGAAGCTGACCCCTACACACAGCACAAACGGTGAAACCCACCTCAGTCGTTAGTGCTGCGTTTGTGCCGGTTTGTGCCGTTGAAGTAACTTCCCAGCTTCTTTATTTCCCGAGATATTTCGCTTTTTTGGGGGGGGTGACGTCACTCAGACCCCCTACAACGTTGTAGGGGAACTGGGCTGGTCTCAGTCGTTAGTGCCGGTTTGTTCCGTTGAAAGTAACTTCCCAGCTGCTTTCGTTCCTTAGATATAACGTCTTCTTTTTCAGGGGGTGACCTTGTCCAGCCCCCTATAACGTCGTAGGGGAAGCGGACCGGTCTCAATCGTTTGTGCCGGTTTGTGTCGTTGAAAGTAGCGTTTGTGCTGCTTCCGTCCCCGAGATACAGCGCCTTGTTTTCCCGGTGATCACGTGACCACGCACGGCGACTTTGACCTCCAGTGACCCCGTCTGCCGAGTTCAAGCGTCTGTTACCGGTGCGAGAGTAACAGTCCTGCAATTGTGTTCCTCTGTTTGCCCCGGTTGGGGGTGGCGTTGGATTTTGCATTTAAAATAAGTGTCTTCTGTGCGTTTGTTTGAGCAGGAAAATTAAATTTGCAAACAATTGCATGTTCTTACCAAGAGGCTTTAACAAGCACGTCTTCATACTTCGTAGCGGTGTGCTTCTTTAAAAATCGGAAGAAGTGATCAGTTTCTCACTCTCTCCTTCTTAAATAAACATGCGCACCAAGGGACGAGCCACGTGTTCAAAAAGGCTTGAATCTGCAACTTTACGAACAACAAGACCACTGTTATATCGATCTTGAAACTAACACCTAGAAATGTGAATATGGGCTCTCGTGTTTTACCAGCGGTAATTTGGAAACTGGTGTCTCTTCAATGAAAGGAGTACACAAGCAATACTTTTTCGAGAACACGGTTAAAAATTAAAAGAAAACACCTAACCCAATGAACTAACATAGTAACTCCTCCCTAACTGTAAGACTGTTTATCCGTGTAAAGGCTCCAAAGTCTGGGGTCAACCAATCAAAAGATCACAACTGAAAGATCTGGTGGTCGTGACTTTGCTGTTTTGTAGGTCACAGAGTGACGTCACAGCCAGGAAAGAAGGCACTCAATTGAAATATATTGAAACATCCATCCCACCCGGCCAATCAGACTAGGAAAACAATTTGCCCCCATTGTTTTCATCACAATCAGGAGTTCAAGCACCGAGTTTGTTGGTACCTGTAAACTTCCTTCTAGATAGTCACGTGATTACCCGGAAAAACAAGGCGCTATATCTCGGAAACGAAAGCAGCACAAACACTACTTTCAGCGACACAAACCAGCACAACCGCAGCACTAACGAATGAGGTGGGTTTCATCCTTTGTGCTGTCTGCAGGGGGCCAGCTTCACGGAGCTCCTGCTTGTCTGTCCATCTGTCCGTCCGCCCGCCCCCTGGTCAGTCAGTCAGTCTCCCTCCATCTCTCGGTAGGAGCTGATGCTGGTCAGTAGCACCACCCGCCCTCTGCTGGGGTGCGTCTGGAGTTTCCCCTCTCGCCGCGGAGGCCTGGCGTATGCCACCACCTCCCTGGTGCTGCACGAGCTCCTTCCCATCCTGCTCATGGTGGCCACCAACCTGGGCACCCTGCACACGCTGGCCAGGCACGGCCGTTCCCAGCGGGCGGGGGAAACCACGCTGACCCGCAGGATCCCCGCCGAGAGACGAGCTGCCAAGGTAGGGGGGCTGAGACACGCCGGGACACAGTGAGACGCAGTGAGAGACGCTGGGACACACAGAGCTGTGTTGCAGTGTCAGTGAGTCAGTGTCTCTCAGTGTGCTGCAGTGTGTCTCAGTGCGTTGTCTACGTCTTCCTCCTCTAGGTGGTCCTGGTGCTGATCATGCTGTTCATCATTTCCTGGGGCGCCAGCGTTCTGTCTGTTAACTACTACAACTACAACCGTGGGCCCTCTACCGAGTTCCTGCTGGTGATGGCGCGCTTCACCAACAGCCTCTTCATCGCCTTCAGCCCCCTGGTGCTGCTGGCTGGACACAGCCGCCTGAAGGCCATCTTCAGGGTCATTGCAGACCACGTCCACAGCTTCTGTTTCTCGCAAAGGTGCTTGAAAAAGTCCTGTTAAAGCAAGTGATGTTACATTGTTGAAAAATGTCTGCATGGATCGAGTCCCAGTTAGAGCATGGAAAGTGCCCTTGTTAGATGCCCTCCAACCAGACACAGGTTCAGATCAGATTTCTGTCCTTGTGTGGCCGGATCTTAGTGCTGTCTGATACAGCCGACTATGATGTTTTCACACATCATCTGGAAAAATGTCAGATGATCTGTAGCACCTCAAATAGACACTGCTGCCACTTCAGGCTAGTCAGTGTTAGGTGTTCCACAACAATCTAGTCTCGGAACAGCGCAAATCTCTTCAAATTTCTCTAAAATTTATTTTTCTAACACCTGTGGAGAATTTCTTGTGAGCTCAATGTACTTTTTCCCTTCTTGCAGAGGACAAGCAGTTGTACATCCCTGTGAAATGTGGTGATATAAAATATATCAAGCTTATTAAACTATTGCTACAATTAAACTTTGGATGTCTAAAACTGTTTATTCAATTGCAAACACGTAGATACTGGCTTTGTATAGTTTCAGAGTTATTTAAGATCTATTATCAATTTATCTAAACTAGGCAGACTAAAGACTTGTTCTGGAGCAGAATACCTGGTCTGCAGGTGGTGAGAACTGGAGAGGATCAGACTGGTGTGCACTGGGAGTCTGGTCTCCCTCCACACACTAAAGCTAAGGACTGCATTTTTTATTCATATCCTGGGCTACATCCCCAAAACACGTTTCTCTGAGCCATTCCCAGCTTGGGAATCTTTATTGAATATGTTGAAATAAGCATTCATACAGTATAAATTTTGCATATATGGCAATCATAAATTCCCTGTATTAACAACCTTCTACTTCATCAGTAAGAGACTCCAGCACCGCAGGTCAAAGTCTTTTAACAGCTACAACAGACCCCAGTGGGCGCGGTACAGGGGCGCTCAAGGAAGGGCTGGGACTCCCAGGACAGAGGTTCAGGCCTCGGCTCCAGCCACTTGTGTTATCCTAACATCACCAGTGCTTTGTGTAATCTGTTCATTATCTTTTTAACATTATTAATTCCCTCTCTCCATAGCAACGTCATCAGCACTCCTCTGCTGCCTTCCTACACAAGTCTTTCACCTGGAATCAGAGTACACATGGAGAAAGAGTCACCGGCCCCATGCACAGCTGCAGTGTATTGAGAGTATGGCCCAGTCCAGTCCAGTCCAGCTCCCGTCAGTACAGTCTGTTCCACTTCAGTCCAGTCCAGGGCTTGTCAGGATGCTTGATTCAGTCCAGATCAGTCCAGTCCAGCTCAGGTAACCTAGCCCAGGTCAAGTACTGTACATTCCTGTCCTGCCCGTCACCTAGAGTCCAAGCCCAGTCTAGATGCTGAGCGTGTTGAGAGCCCGCACTAGTGTGACTGAGCTGGGGGGGTTCAGGTTCTGGTCCTGGTTCTGGGCGGCCCGACTCTCCAGGATCTTCTGCCTGTGTCTCTCCTCCTGCCGGCGCTTCTTCTCCAAGCGCTGCTGCTCCTTCCGCTGCCTGTTGGACACCTGACAGGGAGGAGCAATGAGTGAGAGGAGGCAGTGGCCTGCATCACCCACTTGATGGGCAGGACCGTTTACATGCTCCGGCCTTCATCGGTACCTTTGCTGTACGGCTGTGCACAGTACCGTCCCCTGCTGGCGGTTTGCTGTTCATGTGATCTGTCTGCACCATTGGGCCGAAGAGGCGTGTCCCTGTTCCAGACTCCTCCCACAGACCAGGGCATGAATGAGTTTCAGGCTCTGACTCCTCCCACTCCACAGGGCAGGGCGGAGCTTCAGCACTCAGGTCACTGCAGTTCTCAACTCGACCTGAGGGGGGCAGCAGTGAGTCACAACTCTGGGGCCCATTGGGGAAAAATAATAATAACTACAAGTGTGTAGTGTGACAGACAGGAGGACAAATGGGCCGTGAAACACAGGGACAGACAAAGAGGTTGACCTGTGGGGCTGTATGATGCCAGGCTCCGCAGAATCAGACCGCTGTCCTGTGGGGGAAGGGGAGGGGTCGTTAATACAACAGAGATCTTAGACAGAGAAGAGAGACCTATGAGAAACAAGCAAGGTGAGAGGGAAGAGAGACAGGGAAAGTAAGACAAGCAGGCAGGAAATGAGAAAAAGGCTGAGGTGGATGGATGGACAAGGTAGGTGACAGGAGGGAACTCAACTGCAGCGGAGAGATGCCAAGAGAGGAGCCTGGACAGGCGGCCATACTGACCGTGCTGCTCGTCCTGTAGCTGTCTGCAGGCCTGTCTGTGTTCCCAGCAGCGCGAGAGTCCGGAGACTCGTGGTGGCCTCCTGACCTCAGGGTCTGCCGGGAGAGACAAAGAAGGGAGAGCTAGAGGAGCAGGAGACTGGGAGACCTCGCCCAGACCCCTCCCTCCCGTAACTACGACCCCTGACCTCTGTGCGCAGCTGGGCTGGAGTCTCGGAGTTGTCTCCGATTCGCCGCACACTGTCGTAGTGGTCACCATAGCGATAAGCGATGTGGAGCTCTCGGCAAACTGGCTTCTCGGAGCCGTTAATCTAGAGGGGAGAGAGAAGAGTGGAGAGCGATTAGCGCCATCTCGCTGCTGTCCCGACTAGTCCTCAGGCTGCACCTCTCCCAGGTCAATCAAACCCTCCCCAAATCCCTCCTGAACATCTGAGTCCACAAGAGATACCTGCAGCAGGAACATGAGGCCACTACATCTGCGCGCTGCACCAACCCAGACTGACCCAGGTGACCCCAAGGCGCCGCAGGCACCCCGCAGCCACACCCACCTGCCAGAGAGGCGCGTTGAGCTGGTGAATGACAACACGGACCTGCTGGCTGCGGGCGAAGGCGACGATGGCGTCGTTCCCCGCGAAGGTGCCCGGCTGAGCTAGGTTAGCCACTGACACAGACAGGGAGGAGGGGGAAAGGAGAGAATAGGAACAGCGGTTAGAAACCGCAGGGCTGTTTCCCTGCCCTCCCTCCGCTCCCTTCTCTCCCTCCTCTCACTGTGCTGAGCGAACGGGATGTCGTCCTCCACGAAGGGCTCGAAGTCGTCCCGGTGTTTCTCCATGAACTCCACCGTTTCGCACCGCAGGCGCAGGTGACCCCGCGAGTGACCCTCCAGCTGGTCGCCCAGAGCCCGGAACAGACAGTTCCTAAGACCAGCACAAACCAAGAGCCATCAGGACACCCGCACTGGCTCCTGGACAGGCAGGCAAGCACACAGAGGGAGACGAGCAGAAAGGGAGTGGCATTCGTACCCATCTCCAGGCACCTCTCGGAGCTTCAGCCCCAACACCTGCAGCTGATTACTGAAGCTCACAAACTCCTCCCCCTGCTCCTCCCCCGGGGGGCGGTTCTTCCTGTCCTTGGCCAATGCCCTGCGAGCTGCCCGCTCGTCCCGCTTCCTCTCCACGTCACACTTCCTGTTCCCGCGACCCGCCTTGGCCGACTGTTTCCGGGACATGAGGGCTGCTGGACACGCCGGCTGCGCCAGAGGGTCGCCACGGACACACGCACACCCAGACCCTCACAGCGCTCAGCCCTCTGGTCCACAGGGGCTCAGCCTGTCCGTCAAGGTCACGCCAGGCACTGCCGGAGAGGGGAGAGAGGTTCATGAAGACCCAGAAATACACACAATACATCGCCACCACTGAGACACTACCAACCCCTCATCCACAGCACTCCTGTGACACTGTGATAATACTCTCTCAAGGCCCAGACACCACACTGCCAGGGCATGGAGCGATATTGTGTTAGGCGCTATATCACTTGAGTAATGAGTCAGAGTAGGTGAAAAATAAGACAGCAATAAAAATCATCCAGGTGGGGCTGCACACTGGGGGTGTGGAGGGGATCCCCATTGCCTGTAAAGCGCTTTGAGTGGAGTGTCCAGAAAAGCGCTACATACGTGTAAGCAATTATTATTATTATAATTAATAAAAATAACGATGCCAGTAACAGTGTACCTTGTCCAGCCCCGTCAGAACAGCTCGCATAACTTGACAACAATAGCTCTGTTTATGTCTCCAACAGCGCTCCTAAAAGTGGATGATTGTAAAGACGATACTGACGACACCAGTCGAGCCCCTGTGTTGCGTCCTAGTGTTGTGTAGAGACTGACGCGTGTTTATTTTCAATCAGTACCTCCGCAACACCAGCGCTTCCGGCTTCCGGCTTCCGGTTTCGTAGTAAGGTATCCTCCGAGGTCCAAACCGTACTCTGCGGTACCGAAATTTGCCTTTTTAATTCGATTTTTTTAAAAAGTAATCGGAGTACTTACTGGTAGGACACATTAAATATACTTTTGCTCTAATTTCTTTCTCCCGTTTTCCCTTGCTCTCGTCACGTCTGACGTAACTGAATTACTTTACTTATTTATGGTTTGTGATAAAACTGCCCAGAAATACATTGGAATTAAATACATAACACACACCTACACAACACTCACAGACACATACTGAGTTATACTTACACAAAGATACTCACACATCCATAGCTGTACTTATGCACACAGAGACACGTGCTCATGCTTAAAACAATTTCAAATTCAAAGAACTTTATTAGCACGACCACTGATAACAGTTTTGTCAAGGCAATAACGATTAACAAGACTTTAACAAACAATTGCAACAATAATATGGTGAATTCCTCTTACTGGCTCCTCCCTCCTTTCTCAATTTAATTCAAGCAGCTCCATTGGCATGACGATGAATTACGGTTCTGCCAAAGCAGATACAATCAACACAACATGTACAGACATTTACAATACAAACACATCATAACGTTAACATACAACATACAACACATAGAACATTATTGAGAGACAGGCTCACTGTTCCTTAGGATGTGACAGGAGATCATATACTGGGCTGCCAGTTCAACTGAGGTCTCCCAGTAGGATTGAGAGCTGTTCTAATTCTGGCAGGTGCGGGAATTCTGGAATTAGGTTTGTCAATTTACGGAGGAATTGTTGTCTAAACCAAGAGTATTTTCCACAGTGCAGCACAAAGTGTGTCTCTGTCTCTGTTTCTCCCCGTTGGCGGTGGGAGCACAGCCTGTCCTCTCTGGGCAGCCAGCTCTGCCTGTGTCCAGTTTCCGTGTCCAGCCTGTGGTCACTGAGCCTGTATTTCATCAGGGTCTGTTTCCATTTGGTCAGATATTTGGCTAGTGTGTATTGTCTGTTTAGGGTTCTGTAGCATTCCAGTTTATGTTGTGCTTGTGTGTGTGTGTCCCAGTGTGTGAAATATTGCTGTTTGATCTGTGCTGTGATGTGGTTGAGTCTGAGTCGTGGTGCTCTAGCAGTGCTGTCCTGAGGCTGGCTGGTGTCGGTGTGGCTCGGGCCAGTGAGTCTCAGGACCAGCTGGCTCAGGGGGTTCTTTGTTGGGCTCAGCTCTTGTCTCTGCAGGTCCTTGTGGTAGTAGGAGTTTTGGTCGCTGCTTCTCTGTCTCTTTCCCTGTCCCCCACGTCCTCTCCCCCTGGCCCCTCCCTCCTGCCGCAGTGCAGCCTGAGCATGCGCCGCAGCCTCCCCCGCAGCTTGCTGTGCCCCAGGGCCACCACCAGGGGGCTGAAGCCCACGAAGACGGAGGCTGCGAAGTGCGAAACGGTGAGCAGGGTCTCGGCCTGGCGCCCACGGTTGTAGTTGTAGTGGGTCACGGCGGTGACCTGCAGCCCCCAGCAGGTGACGAACAGCGTTACCAGCACCAGGATGACGTGGCTGGCCCTGCGCTCCGAGGCCATGTGGCCCTGCAGCTCCATGTTGGCCCCGGCCACCGTGTGGATGTGGCGCCGCAGCACACAGAGCGACGCCAGGTTGGTGCCCACCATGAGCACCAGGGGCACCAGCTCGTTCACCACCAGCGAGGCGGTGGCGAAGGCGATGCCCTGGACCTCGGAGGGGAACTCCCAGACGCAGCCCAGCAGGGGGCGTGTGGTGCAGCTGATCACCATGAGCTCCACAGTGGTGTTGCCGCGCGAGTGGGTGGAGTACACGAGCGCTGGGAGGGAGTAGGCGAAGTTGAGTGCCCACACCAGCGCCAGGGCCACGCACACGCGCCGCAGCTCGGCCCGGTGCGCCTGCAGGCCGGACATGAAGGAGTGGCGCCGCAGCATGGCCCAGTGGAACAGGCTCAGCCCCAGCGTGGCCCAGCACCCCACGGCCCGCCACCACACCCACAGGAACATGAAGAGCCGGCACCAGCCCGGCGCCAGCGACACCTCCAGCCCCAGGTCCGAGACGAAGATGGGGACGGTGCGGAAGAAGGAGGTCAGCAGGTTGGCCAGCGACAGGTTGGCCAGGATCAGGTCGGAGGGAGGAATCCTGAGCAAGGAGTTCTGCAGGACCGACTGAACCACCTGGGGCAAGGCGGGGGGGAAGGAAGGAACAGCCGTCAGGAGACAGAGAGAGGAGGAGAGGGGAGAGGAGACAGAGAGGGGAGAGGGGAGAGAGAGAAGGAGAGTGGAGCAGGAGAGCGGGGGAGAGAGGAGCAGGGGGAGCGAAGTTAGAGACAAGTAGTATAAAAACACACCGAGGCATTGAAGAGCTGGCACAAAGACTGCACACAAAGGGTACAGCACAAACAGGGAACGGCACAGTACAAATAGGTAGTGCACTATGAAAATGGTGAAGGTGCAGAAACAGTAGCATGATGAAGTCAAGGTTAGGGAAACAGAGTGAAATGCCTTCTCACCGCACAGATGACCAGTACGTTCCCCACAATGCCCGACAGGACCAGCACCCCGAACAGGATGGCATCGACCGGCAGGACCTGTGCCATCCTGGGGCCTCTGGCACAGTGGCGGAGGGCTGTCCCTACACTCCCAGAGCTTCACTCAGCCGTGAGCCGGGACAACAGCCGCTGGCTGGAGAGAACAGCCCAGCCCGGGTTTCTGGGTCCGGTCCAGCCCGGGCAGTGGATCCCGTCTGCGTTCAGAGGCTCCTGCACGCGTGCCTGTCCCCTGCCAGGCTGCCTGTGTCAGTACAGTGCTCTGGCTCTGTGTGTCTGACTGAACTGCCCCTCACTGCTGATATGTCACCTCCTTATGCCCCATTTCATCCCCACATCAGTTCCCCGGCAACCAGCTCATTGCTCTCTCACCTGGGCAGGCACAGGGACACCCACCTGCGGGGCACTGCTCCCATGGCAACGTCCTGCCATCAGAGTGAGTCCAACAACGTGCCCGCCAGGATCCAGCACAGGGTACAGCACTGGACACTACAACTCCTCCCAGATCCTGGTCCCAGAGGGCCAGCGTATCTGCAGGTTTACTGGAAAGTAGATCATTACTGGGCCAAACTGGGACACCAGCAGACACACAGGCAGGAGGAGCTGCTGTGCCTGTGATTGTACAACGATCTACAGCAGCAGTTCCCAAGCCTGATCATGGAGTAACAGAAAGAGCCTTATTTGTAAACCTGTTTCAGCTCTTTCAGAAGTTTCTGATTTTCAGAACTACCCTTCTCCAGGTGTGCTGCCTGAAGTGTACTCCCCTGGACCCTTGCAGAAAGAAAGAAGGGTGTGTCTGATAGAGTGTTATTCCCACCTGTGTCTGTTCTTCTTCAACAGATCAGCTACTGAGAGCTCCCACCAGACACAGCGCCCAGCCAGCAGTCTGAGGAGAGGCTGTGCACTATTCTGCATGCTTCAGACCAAGCGAAGAAGGTAAACACAGGACTAAAGCAGCAGGCAGATCAGTTCAGCCCTGGAGATGCAGAGCCCAGCTGGAATAAACCCAGCACAGTGTCCTCCAGGATTGGGGATATCTGGACATCACTGACATTCACTCCTGCTCCTGGGGCGTGGCTGTTCCCCAGGTTTTCACTCCAGCCTGGACTCAGTGGGTCTGTCTTCCCATTGTCGCATCCTGTGCACCAGGAGTGTTGGGGATGTCTCTCACATACACAGTGTTGCGTCCTGCGCTCGGGCACGTTTCCCACTGACACTGAGGTTTGAAGAGCCGGTGTCTGTCAGAGACAGGTCTGCAGGTCGAAGTGTCTCAGGAGGAGCTGGAGAGGATCCTTCCGCAGGCAGGGAGGAGAGCTGTGCGCCAACCGGGGGCCAGACGTGGACCTACAGCAAGTAGCTCCCTAGTCTTGAAGCCGTGACAACGCCAACAATCAAGGGTCTTACTGTATGTGAAAATTGCACAATGCACAAGTAATGGTCCCATTTAGATTATTTTGTAGAATTTTGGTCACCATGTTAAACAAAAGTTATTGCTGCTCTGGCATCCATCCAGATGGGGCTGAGGGGATCGTCCTACACTGATGGGCAGCAGGCACTGAGCCTTTTCCTCCGCAGAGGAGGAGACCTGACACTGGTGTCAGACTCCCATTCCACCCGGCAGGCTTCTCCAGAACGAGCAGTTCAACTACAGGGGAGAGAAAAGTAGGAATCCTTTACCCTAAGGGTGGTGGGGGTCTGGAACAAGCTGCCCAATACCCTGGCTTCTTTCGGGAACAGCTGGATGTGATCCAGGGGTCAATAAGCTTCTCAACAGCAAATGGATAAGACAGGCCAAATGGCTCCTTTCGTTCGGAATGGTTCTTGTGATTTTCTCCTTTCACTAAAGGACTGTAATTTATGTAATTATCATTTTGTTTTTGTAAATGTTATGTCAGTCTTGGATGAAAAAAGCTCTGTCCCGACGACAGTTCTTGTTGCTGTGCGTGGAGTCCCAGGTTGTGCCTGCCAGCCTCATTATCGCAACTAACCGGCCAGATAATTAACTCGATCGATGAGGAGATAGCTTCCTGCCCTGCCTCTGCGCAGCCCCTCTCCAGAGCCTCATTACACAGAAGTCCTCAGTCAGCCCTTTACCCTCGTTAGAGAGCTCCCAATAATTAATTATCTGGCTAATCAGCAGCTTGTGTAACCTGGCTGTGTCCTCATAGTCCAGGAACTCTGCCTGAACTGAACTGAACTCCAAAACTGTCCTCTCACTGTTGCGGTTTCCCAGCTCAGCTCTTAATTCATTCATTACCACTTCTGTGCCCTCCTTTCAGCCGAGAGCAGGAACTGCTGTCTGCACTCAGGTCTGATTTTCGGTGTAGGAAATAGTTCAGCCAGAGTTCAGCCAGCAGAGCTCTGCCGGATGGAAACTGGGACTCACATGAGCGGCGGGGTCAGGCCTGTGAGGAGACAACGAATATCACTGTTCGGGAGTATTTACAGTGTTACTAACATGAAAATATAAATGAATATTATATTTAAATGAAATATAGTCTTTGCAGTTGTTGCTACTGAATGTAGTAATAGTTACGGAGGTTTTCCACATCTTCCTGTCATTCTGTTTCAGTATAAACGGCACATTAGTTACACACCCCGTTACTCATGTTTCGCTGCAGAACTTTCTTTGATCACGGCCGTACGGCGTGTGAGGGGCGGGGTCAGTCGAGCGTCTGTCCAATCGCCAGTGCCACATGGGCTGTCAGTCACTGCGAGCGATGGGCCTGGTAGCCAATGGTGAGGCTGAGAAGGAGGGGAGAGGGGCGGGCTCTCGAGTCCACGGCGGCTCCAGTCCAAAGCGGTATTGAGTTTCTTTTAAAGGCACAGACGCGTCCTTGTGGAGTGTTAAAATAAAAGCGATGGCAGCGGTTGTTCTCCCACTCAGCCCAGAGTCCGAATGTCCCAGGACACCAGTAAAAACCAGCAAAGTGCGACCCGCTCGCGGGCAGCGGGATAGCCGTGAGGCGGTTTCCTGCCCCTCGCGCACAGAGCTTCCTGTGCCCTCGAGGCTCTCAGACACGCCTCCTGCCCGAACTTCACAACAACCGGACCCCCGAGCCCCGGTACCGGTCCTGATCGCCCAGCGAGGAGCCGAGCCCCGGCACCGGTCCTGAACGCCTAACGGGGATCCGAGCCCCGGCACCGGTCCTGAACGCAGAAGGGAAAGTACAGGGGTTCGGCTGGACGCTGCTTAGCCGAGTAGTGTAAATTCAGATTATCGACAGTGCGACGAAGGGGTGAAGAGTTTACGGACTGGTAACGCCCGTGTCTGTGTCCGTCTGTCCTGCTTCGTGCGTGCTGATACTGATGTGAGGGCGAAGGTCCTGAGGCGGTACGCGCTGCATCTGTCGAGGTTGCAACTTGTTTCTAGTTCTTCGGATTTTGCAGTTCAATTGCAAGGTTGTGGGTTCATGGGACTCACGGTCCTTTTTTTTTGGACTAATCAGGTTATTTCTTCACTCGGCCAGAAGCTGTCCCAGCGCAGGATAGAGCACAGCGCAGGTTAGAGCACAGCGCCAGCTGTCCCAGAGCAGGTTAGAGCACAGCGCCAGCTGTCCCAGCGCAGGATAGAGCACAGCGCCAGCTGTCCCACCGCAGGATAGAGCACAGCGCCAGGTTCTGGGTCCTTTCCTGTGAATTAGGTGGTAAGGAGGAATGCTCTTCTCTTCGCCAGGTGTGGACTCACGTGTGGTCAGCTGCAGAGAGCGGGCATGCGGGGGTCAGTGTCGCGTGGAGCTGACTAGCCCCCTGGAGCACCATGGGAGCGCTGTGCGGGCGGCGCCCGAAGGGGGCGCTGCAGCTGGCCCTGTGCCTGCTGGCGCTGGGGGCCGTGTGTGCGGGCGCCCTGCTGTACAGCCACCTGAGGCACACGACGCGCTCGCTGGAGGTGCAGACTGCCAGACACCGCCAGCAGCAGGAGGCACTGTCTGCGCAGCTGCAGGGTGAGAGCAGGCAGCTCTGCTGCGAGTGTTCTTGTATGTTGCTGTCTGCGCAGCTGCAGGGTGAGAGCAGGCAGCTCTGCTGTGAGTGTTCTTGTATGTTGCTGTCTGCGCAGCTGCAGCAAGAGAACAGGCAGCTCTGCTGTGAGTGTTCTTGTATGTTGCTGTCTGCGCAGCTGCAGGGTGAGAGCAGGCAGCTCGGCTGTGAGTGTTCTTGTCTTGTTGCCTGCGCAACACTTACAGGAAGTGATGTTCCCGTCCATTCCTCCGTTTCCCAGCCTTCTGTCTGCAGACTCTGGGTCTGGCTGCTTGTAGAGCAGATCTGTCTTCTGCCTCAGGCGTACTTTCTTAGTGTGGATTGCATGAAGAGTGTTGCCTGAGCTTGACCACTGAGCAATGTCCTTCTGTGTCTCAGTGGTGTATGAACATCGCTCGCGCCTGGAGAGGTCACTGCAGAAGGAGAGAGTGGAGCACAAAAAAACCAAGGAAGGTGGGTTCTTTCTCCTCCCTGTCTGTCTGTCTGCCTCTCCTCCCTGTCTGTCTCTCCTCCCTGTCTGTCTGTCTGCCTCTCCTCCCTGTCTGTCTGTCTGTTTGTCTGTCTCTCCCCCCTGTCTGTGTGTCTGTCTGCCTCTCCTCCCTGTCTGTCTGTCTCTCACAGTCTCATCTCAGCACCTTCCTGCTGTGTCTGTGTGTTTCTCTCTTCAGCTCTGTTAGTCTTTTCTCTGTCTCCCTGCCTGCTTGCAGATTTCCTGGTCTACAAGCTGGAGGCCCAGGAATCCCTGAACAAGGAGAAGGTGAGTAAGAGCAGCAAGACCGGACATCCCTGTCAAAGCAAATGCTGGATCCTAAAGGTTGAAGAGATACAAAAATTGCAAATAAAAAATGTGTTTTATTTAAGGGCATGAGCTAAATGAGTGGATATAGATGTTTGACGAGCTGTAAAGAGGTGTTTAACGAGCTCTTCTTCTCTCTCGCTGTCCGAGCAGCAGGATGCCATGAACAGACACAGCGCCCTGAGCTCCCAGCTCAGCATCCTGAAGGTACTGCCCCCCGTGCCCCCGCACCCCTGCGAGGAGTCGTGGGTGTAAAGGCAGCAGCCGGGCGGTGAGGAGAACTGGCTGCGTGCTGGTAGCGCTGCGGCGTGCCTGAAGCTGCGTGCTGGTGGCGCTGCGGCGTGCCTGAAGCTGCGTGCTGGTGGCGCTGCGGCGTGCCTGAAGCTGCGTGCT